CTTTTGTCGTTAGTGGAAACGAGCGCGTTTTTTTCCTCAGGGTATCCCCCCCTGGTGTAAGGACAACGCAGCATGCGTACTGGGGCGTTCGTTCCAGTAGCTACACCCCCTCTCTCCCCCACCCAGCTCCATGTGCTCTGTCAGCAAAAGCCAACAGTCCATCTAAAATACGCACGCACTATTTTTTATGGGAGTCATAATTAAATGAGAGTCAAAGACAACATAAAAAAATACACTCTTTAAGTTACAGATGACAAGTGGGTTGTCATATTGTGGTTTACCCTTAAAAGAAACGTTTTTTAAATATGTTTTACCATGTTCACTGATTCTTTGAAGCGAACATGTCTTCATCTCCCAAATGTTAAGCGACATTCCACCATGCCATGCTTTCTCTTCCTCCCATACACACAAACACGCACTCTAGGGCGTACACTACTGTATCGATTAGAAATCAAATGGGTTGATTACCAGATAATCACAACACTTCAGCAGTACCTTGATCCATCGACCGCATCATGTGGTACTGCGCGAGCCTCCAAGTCTCTCTGAACATCTGGGGCGAAAAAAAAGGCAACAAAAAAAAGAAAAAGAGAGGAAAAAGAACTGTAAAAATGCGTAAAAATTATTCCTCTCTAATAACCATAGCCAAGGTAGAGATTCAAGATCAATTTGTTGGAAGGAGAGGAAAAGGTAAAAAAAAGTTGCGTAAAGTTGCGATAACGGTGCGCAAACTCGTTTGTAAAAAACATGCGACCACATCTGCCACTGCAACGGTTCTGGTATGAAGTCCCTCTTCCTCGAGCTCTATAAGGATTACTTGGAGTATCGAGAGCGACTTCCTTCCCTGCTCTGGCTGTTTATAATGCTCCAATGCTGTAAAATAACGGGATTCCCTCAGTGTTTCCTCCTGTTTGTGCGCCTTTGCCATGGAAACCTGGAGCGGGTCCATGTCGGAGACTCAGGGCTTTCCTGCAAAGCCCCACACTCAGGAATCCATGACGTCTCCGGCTTCTTAGCCAAGACATTTCTGTGGCTTCTCTCAGACAGTAGCACACAAGAACTTCATTGTAGGGGTGAAGAAATTACTGTAGGACACTGTAGCAGCGAGGGGGAAAAGAAAAATACCTCTGAACTTTGATTATAGGATATGAACCACATGAAACTATCAAATCTTCAGCCTGAAGTTCAGTTTACAATCGAGAAAGAACTCAAATATTTAATCAGGGAACATGCAGATAACTTTGGCTAAATACTTACATTAAATTCTGAGAATTTAAATTCTGAGAATTGAACGTATCCCACTATAGAAAGAGGATGTACTTTACATTTCCATGTCATTATGGAGATTTTTCTACATCTTCTGCTTCTTGACTGATCTAAGAGTTTAACATGACATAAACTGACTATTCAAACAAAAGAAACGATCTACTTAGCGACCACAGGAAATGTATTGTTCCATTTTTTGTTGGAGTGTGCAGATTTTAGTCACACACCAAAAGTATCATTTTTATTCCAAGATACTTCATTCACTGGGAATGCTCTATGAGGAGAGTATCTAGGTTGCAGCACAGACATAGGAAATTTAGAGAGACTATCCTAAGAATGAATTGCAGTGATTTTTTCCCCATTCGTGTTGTCATATCATTAAAATAAAGGTGAAGGAGGCCGAACCGTCCACCTGTTCGGGTTCCAAATGTCTGAACATATTATGACAGTGCTGGGAGTTAAGATGTTAAGTTTACCTAACTTAAAATAGTTACTATATTAGCCTCAAGAGGACAATTGGTCTATGAAGAAGCTACAAAGGACCTCATTTCAATTAGAAAAATATCTGAGTACATGTTTTTCCCTATTTAACTTGACCTGACAGATTTGGGTCTACCTTTAAGATACATTATCTTCTTAAGTTAAGTTTTTTCCCAAATAAGCCACAGATGTTTATGGTATTTTACACAGTGCTTTACATATGAAGAACAGTTGCAAATATGGAGGAATAAGCCAAATTCGAATAAAAAAACTAAATACATATATGACCCAATAATGACCTAATTGATTGATCACTTTTTTTTCTTTTACATCTGTTTAGGCAATTCAAAACTACTCATAGGAAAATGTGTGTGCTTGAGGTAGTAATCAGGGCATCTATTTCAGATTGAGACATGAACTAGTCTGAGCAAGGTGACCGTAAAGCCACATTTTGGAGGAAATTCAGAAGCCATGTCTAGCAGATGTCCATTCCTCCGCACTTACACTAAGGACACTTGTGGAAATTCAAATTATGAATGAGTACATGAAAACGGAACATCCTCGTGTCCAGACTGGTGCGCTCGTCCGTTTTCTTCCTTTTCTTTTTTTTTTTTTCGCATAGAACCTTTTTCCAAGTTCTTGCAGTATTTTCCAACACTGTAGCGTGACTCATCGGGGTAGACCCGTCTGACTTTTGAGGCTCTGACTGAGTTTTCCAAGTGTCGCATGTGCAGTCAAGGGTTTAAATCCAAGCAATGAAATTTTGATATGGAAAGTATATAATGCATGCTCATGGAAAATCTGCTACTATGACTGAAAGAGCAAAAGGAATGAACTTTTTTCTTTTCTTTTTTTTTCATTTGGGTCTTTTAATCTGCTATTATGTCTTTTCTCTCTTGTTTTACAATGGAGTTGACAACAAGAAGAGAGAAAAAACAAAAATTTTATTCTTTAAATGTTCTATTTTCTGTTCTTACTGTGTCTAATTTCGAGTTATGTTGAATTTTGAACCAGATCCAAGGAAAGAAACTTAACCGAAACATTGTGGAGAGAGGGTGGACTTTGATGCAAACACAAATATTCATATGACAGCAATTGGGAAACACAACTCAAGAATTTGCAGAGTGATTTCTTATGATGTAGAGCCCCCTAAAAACATCAGTCCTGTTTCCCAACTCTCAATAGTTGGCAGCTGCAACCGCTGCAGACAAGCTTTTAGTCTGGCCACTGCTGGCATGTCGTTGTGCAATATGAATCTCATTTAATTCCCGCCACAGTTTGAGATCCGTTGAAAAACATTCCCCCTCTTTTTCCAAATTGTATAAATGAAATAATATGTTCCGTCGACGCAGAAACTACATATATCCACACTGGCCATGTTATATAAAAGATTTTGATCGAGCCTCGAAAGTTTGTTACAGAATTAGCGTCTGAAGTCCAGTGGAAATGTGGTGCACTAGCTCATGGGTTTTTCCCTTTTCAGCACCGTAGTATGACCTCTCCTCGTCAAGACTACTTTTTTTTTTTATCCCATCCAGGTTTCCAATTCAACTCCAGAATGTTTAACAGTTTAAGCATCTTTCTTAATCTTTAATCTGTGTAGAATGGACCAAAAGTCTATATAAGGTAATCAGAACAAATAAAAGAAAACCTATTAAACTTGTCAGATTAAGTAAAAACTCACTCTTCCCTTTACATTTGCAACAAAAACTGAAAACATTTCGGCCTCCACATTAACAATTAATCATCCTGGAAAGGTATCTAATCCAGTCAGTCTTAACAAGATTTGGGAAGTTTTGTTGAACTGGTTTTGGGGATATTAGTGAGTATCATCAGGGATGTTTTCATAGTCCTACTCTAAGAGGTATGAGTAGTAAAACAAATCAAAGCCTTTCAAGCCCGTAGAGCTATTTATAGTGCCAGAGGTGGGTGTGAGTTCATGCTTTGCAATATCTCTGTGAAGGGCTTGTCATTGCCTAAATCCAGTTTACACAGAACCATAGCATTGGAGTAGTAAACATGCCATTTGGAGTGGCTATTTTCAAATTTGGTGTCGTTCCAATTCACCCTAGGGTGGTTTCTGTTATTTCAAAACAGACTATATGCATCTATGCTGACTAGCTGAATACTCACATGTGTTATGCAAATGAAAATGGGATTGTTATGCCTTCAGTTTTCCTCACTTGAGTTCCCTTTTCTGCGTCAGTGTTTGTATTGATATTGGTATTTATCTGTAGTAATTAATCTCTTTTTTCCCTAAATCATGGAAATTCAAGCATTGTGAAATATATTTTTTAACTTTAATCAGATTGTTTGGCAGCTGGGGCTTCAGATCTGCCTTCAGAATGATAGAAACAGATATACTGTTTTTATTAGTGTGCAACTTAAGTTAAAACTGATGTGAAATTTCAATTTTCATGGGGCAGATTTACTTGAACATTTTTTTGGGGACAAAGACAATATTGATCCATGCATGTTGTACTGACAGAACAGACTTTATGTTAAAAATAAGAGGGTTGCAAACTCTTAATCTTATAGATAATATTCAGGGTAAAATGCACTACATTTTAGGCATCAACAATTTCTAGCATGTAAAGTGTTTGAACAAAACAGTCCCTTCTAAATCTCTTGTAATTAATCTAAACATCAAGGGTCATAATGATAGTTTAATTCTGATTCTGAAACAGGTTTATTATACTAAATTGCCCTTGGTTTGAAATCAAGGTTTAGGACTTTGTGTAAGCTAAAACATGTACGTTGTGAATATGAATAATAAAAGGGTTCCAAGAAAAGGACACCCTCTCCTACGGCGGGATAGGAACATTTAGTCTATATTCTATGTAACTTTTAACTCGTTAGAAAGGTAGCTTCTGCATACCAACAGCCTTATCTAGTTTAATCCAAAACTAAGATGTTCCATTCAGTGAAACACTTTATTTAATCTGTTTTCAAACCATCATTATAAAGCAGCATATTGGACGCTAACTTACCAGTGATCTTAAAAATATTCTGCCACATTATACAGAAGTAGTTCACCATTATAAAATGTAAAACAGCAAAAATATTACACTTTTTCACGGAGTCACTTTTCTCTATTGAAGGTTTTAAAGTCTTGACAATGCTTAATCCACCATCTGAAATGCTGCCAATTTACAGAAAAACTAACAATGATCTGACATCAAAATCATAAGTCCTCTCTCTCTGTTTTGCAAAACAGTTTAACTGGTGTCATTATTAAGAACATATACACTGTTGCTGTAAACTGTAATAACTTAAGTAACACAGATAAATTATTCCACAACTGTGCATAGTTCTGAAAAAAGAACATAATTCCTCATGTAAAATAAATAAAAAATACTGTTACCCTTTTCAAAATAACAGATTTTGTCCTTATGTAAAAATAAAATCATTAAGTAAAAGCTTTCTTTTTCTAGGTAGGGAAAAGGAAATAGACACTGGGAAGAAAAAAAACAACATATTTATTAATAATCATGACAATGACATCATTACAACTGTCCCTTTTTTGTTCTGCTTATCTGAATTAAATCAAGATCTTTAAATAAAACATATCAAATAAAAAGATAAATTATGTACATACAAGCATTTTTTTAGCATAATACACACTGTGCACCATTGCAACATAAACTAGACAGGAGTTTTATGAAAACATATTTTTGAGATTGACAAAATTAGACATTCACTACTATAAAAAAAAAAGATTAACCAGAAAAGCTTAATTACTGTACACCAACCGCCCTTCTTTATTAATCAATTACAATGACGAAACACTTTTTAATTCGAAAAGAAAATCTGAAAAAAAGTGACAAAGTGATCATGTTTTTTTCTGTTGAGTAAATACACACAATAGCAGTGAGATGAAAATGAAGTAGTGTAGTTTAGCATCTTTTTTTTTAAGTGCAGTAATTACAATCCTATGACTGTAAGAATATTTACATGACATTTGACTGAGTAGGAACAATTTGATCCCTTTTTTTTTTTATCATTTCACAGCCTAACTGCGGAGAAGTTTGTGACATAAAATGGGGACCCGGGATGCCGGATGCTGTGATGCGTTATGGGTCGATGTTCCAGCGAGTTGTCATGCAAAGTTGAAAAGCGTGGAGAAAAGCAGGAAAACACTACGGCCTGCGCATTCCTTTCGAGGACCTGAGGCTTGTGGAGAACCCGGTGGAGAGTTTGGCTGCAAATACCCGGGAGCTCTGACCAGACTCCGCAAACACTAACAACTTGGGCTCCGTACAAAGTCGCAGAAACAAATTTAACATCAGACGCGAGGGGTCATTCTAAAATAACGCACCGCACCACCTCCGCTGTGCTGAGCTGTAGCTTCGGGGTGACGCATCAACAAACAAATATACTTGCGAATGTGTTTTTAGTTAAGCCAGTAAACCCTTTTACACCATATAATTTAGAATTCAATGTTTACGGACACCGTGAATCACGTGTCCAGTGAGAGCTCTATGTCAATCTCACCTTTTTAATCGGAAAAATATCTGTACTAACCATGTAATTTAGAGCAAATCGGTTTCCTTACCACATTACACATATATAACTTTCACTTTGCTAGTCACTGATACTGCTTTTTGTATTATAAAACACACTGGCTTTGCATAATTTACCAATTAATTTCCAGTCTGAAAAGCTGAGGGACATACATTTTAAAATTCGCGATGATGACAGGGCTGCCTCTATAGATATTTTTACTATAACTACTTGAATCTGCTCAGTTTCACTCAACCCAGAATTGACTGCAGGCCTTCCCTACTCAGAGTCATCATGGATCAGTCCTTGCGGAATAAACTAACACTGTAAACGCGTGGTAAACTAGTACACCTTCCAGAGGGTGTCCAGGACAAATGAAAGGGTTATGAGGGTCTTTTTCAGCCCTCTGTTCAAGCCGCAGGCTTTGCAACGTAAAGATCAGGAAATCTTTATTCCGACTGTGAGACCAGAGACTCAGCTGTTAGGAAGTCAGCTTGGAGTAATTGGGTGGAGAGAAGCGCCTTCGCAGGTACTTTAGGATGTAGAGGGGCAGACAGCTGACCAGCGTGATGGCCGTCACCTTCCACAGGAACGATACTGTCGTTATGAAGTGCACGTCTAGCATAGAGGATAGAAATACACAATTATGGAGAATAAACATAGATTTAAAGGCAAATCGGTTGTATTGTATCTGTGGATATGACCGTTTCTTTGTCATCTATGGTTTTCTTGAATTCTACAGTAATTTAATATATCTTTCCAAACATATTTCATCAATTTATTCAGAGTAAGTGGAATCCATCTGGTAAAAAATATCTTCATTTATTTTTACTCTTGATTCTTAAAATACTTTCCACTTTCTTGATCACATTGAATACTGTGCATCTTTAACAAAGCATCATGTGGTGGAATCCTGTAATGTCTGTTCTGATCAAATATATAATTATGTGACTGAGACAATATCATAGTAGTATAGACACAGTAATGATTGCTGGCCTTCTCCAAAATATGTTTCACTGTTGGAGAGAGGGGGTAAAGTTGCAGAAGAGATGTAGAATTTTTAATCAAGAGACCGGTTCAGTTCTTTAGTGGAAAGGTTGCCATTTCCCTGTTCATGATCTTTGTTGTAAAAGTTATAGTTAATTCTAATAGTTAATTTATAGGTAAAAGTGGTGGTGGCATACAGTTTGTAATTTCCTGTTTCGGGAAAACCCACAGCAACAATATTCATTGTTGAGTGTTTGGGAGTTCTTTTAATTTCCCACACTAATCCAGACTCAAAATGATGATTCATTTGAAAAAAAAAAAAAAAAAAAATCTTTAAATGGTAGTTCAGACAGCTGCTAAATTGCTCCTGAGCTGCATGCATTTTGGTATACTGCCAGCATGAATCTGGGAACGCAAAAACGCCCCAATAAATGTGTTTCACAAATTCTGCTAAAGACAAAGTTTGTCTGCCGGACACATGATAACAAGAGCTTCATGGTCCTTTAGCCTCAAGTTACAAAATAAGTAAATCCCAGGAATCTTTCTGAGAGGGAACAACACTACACAAGAACACAACCCCTGGAAAATGTTTGTAAAAGTGTGTAAAGTGCACATGAAATAAAATAACCTCTAAAGTCTATTCCAGTCTGACTTAAAAAAAGAACAGCTGTAGAAAAAGGGCTCACCTCACCACATGCCAGTCATGGATTGTCAGTGGTCGAGATTGTAGGTTGAAAGTGGAACTATGCACCTCACATTGAGCTCAAAATAAAGACTTGGAGAGCCCTTGTGTAAGTCATGGGTCTTAATATGGCAAAAGTAAATGGTTTACTGGTTTACGTGTTTGCCAGAGTAAACACATATCCAATAGACTGGCAACAAACAGACTGAAATAGAGAAAGATTAAAACCCAAAATACACTGTTGCTTTTGCTGGGAAAATATTTTTTTTCTTTCTATCTTTCTTCTAATATTCTTATCTGACAGTGAGCATTTCTTTTCTACTAAAAAACAAATTTAGTGCAGTATACGCACAAACCATCACAGCTCGCAGGAAACTAACTGAACTGTCGGCATTTCCTCTCTGATACGACAGTGTGCCGAGCTTCAGTCACACAAGGACGATTTGTCGATACATTCACCTTTATACTTCCTAATATCCAGCATACCACAGCTTACTGTACACTGGAGACACACTATGAATGACCGGCCCCCCCCTCACGGTTAAATGCTGACGTACTATTTCAAGGCCGGCAACGGCACAACAACATGATTCAGTCAGCAGTGAAATAATTCAGACATCCGCTATCTTGTCTCAGTGAGGCACATTGAGTTAGCAGTAGTTTAATGACTTAAGTTAACTGTTCACTTACCTATGAATTCGTGCAGAAAGACCAGTGAGGCGACGTAGCACGCCAAGCTCAGGAGCTCACCAACTATCATGAGCCAGTGCCACGTCTGAATGGTCAGAGCCACCATCAGCAACTCGGTCAGAATTAGGGAGGTAAATGAAATGGCAACGATGTGGACGAATTCGGACTCGAAGAGCAGCAGGGCGCCATACATGATGATGCTCCCTAAGGAAGACAGGAAAAGATTAGACAACAGACAAAAAAAAACTTGAAAACTAATTCTTTACATTGCTCTGCCATAGTGATGTGACTTTCATTTGAAATTATTTTATGACAGACATTTGGAGACAAATATTTTTTTAACTAGAATTAGAAATATTCTTGAATCTGGGTAATAAATAAACTTAACTAAAGAACAATTGAACAGGTTTACGAGACACTTTTCCTACATGAGGTAGTACAAGCCTGAATAGGATCGGATATCTTTATAAATATAGACTTTAGTCAAGTTATAGGTATGAATATAGAACCACCCCATCATGCAATGCTTGATTTTGAACTGTGCACTGAGAGGATGCAAAATCTGATTTTGATTTGAGATGAATTCAATGGCAGTGGTTTATGGAAGTTGTAGTCTTCCCGTTCAATAATTTTCAGACACATATATTTCTATATTTTAAAAAATGGCTGTGTTGTTTGAAGCTTATCATGACCTTGTATGCATGCCCCAAAAGATAAAAAAAATATATATATATATATATATATATATATATATATATATAATGCTTATTTATACTGTGTGTGTTCAAATAAGAATTACATGAACAGACAAATTGCAGCATTTCAGTCAACATTGTCAACTCACTGCAAGCAATAATTAAGATTCTCATCAAACATTGTTTTATTTAGCTTTAAATATCAGAAGGCGGACTGTTAAACTTTTTCAACCCTCAGATGATGTGTGGTGTCTCGTTGCTGAAAATAAAATAAGTGAAAAAAGTAGACAGAGAGTGTAATCAATAATCAATTTGTCACTAAATGAAATAAAGAGCCTTTACACATAATTTTGGAAAGCTATTTAATATTGAACCACCAATAATATTTATTGGTATCTTGATTTTATATCTGAATTTGAAGTTGTTCTTTTTATTGCCTTCAATCTCTGTTTGAGTTTCCAGATAAACATAGTTTTATCTAGAAACCCAATGTTCTGATATAAATTTTTCCCCACTCCTAGTGTAGGTCCATGAAAAAAAGGAGAGGAAGAAACTGAATGTATTTTGTCTGCCTAAATATACATAGGATATAAAGTAATACCAACACAGAACCAGTTTACAGACCAAGCCCAAGTGCTTGAATATACAGCGGCTTAGGATCACCTCTAAAGCTGAAAGCTAATTTGACAGAAGTAGAAAAAGAGGTATCAGGGTGTAGATTGGAGTGAAGTAGTAAACAGGTTTTCACTGCAAATGGTCCATGTCGGAAAGTTCCCTCTTGTTTCTGACAAACGCGTGTGGGCTGGTAATGAGTGATATGCCAAAAAGCAAAGAGTTACACCCGACTGCTTGATCCTTCATAATATTATCTGTTCTTAAGTTTTGTGTATTTACACACTACCTTTTACGGATATGGAACAGAGTTTGAATGTTACACTCAGAGAGAAAAGGAAAGTACTCCCATTTTCAATTATGAGTATTTACATAAAGGACAACCCTGAACCTCAGATGAACTAGCCATGAAAAAATAAAAACCTACTACTTACTTTTAAAAAATGAAAAGAAAAAAAAGACATAAGATGCAGAAATAATATGCCTAAATATGAGAATATTTGGGGAATCAGTTGCTTTTAAAAATCCCCTTTAGCAGACATTTATTGATGTGATTGATTTTATGACCTAACTCTCACTAAGCCTTAGCTGTATAACAGACCTTCTTTGATTATAGATTCATTTTGTGAATAGATGGGCTTATGGTCAAACAATTGAAAGCAAAGTGCTCTGTGTTTGTAATAAAGCCCAAAACATCAGCCCTCCATGATGGTGTTTTACATTAGTGTTGCTGTCCATTATGATCAAAGATCTCAGAATTGGTCTTTTCCGTCTAAATCATATTGTGCCAAATATCCTTGGACTTTTTCAAATGAGATTTTGCAGACCTTAGCCGTGCTATCATGTTTTAAATCTTTTATCATTTTTTAGAGAAGAGGCTTTGTCCTGACAATCCTTTTTCAAGTCACAAGTCACACTTGTTCAGCCTTTGCTCTGAAATTAATTTTAATATGTTACATGCTATCGGAGGCCTGTACAGCATGTTGTGCTTGTGATTTTCTTTTCTTTTTTTTTTATCTCTCTGAACAACATCCAGTATGACCTTTAAGGTTTAACTTTTAGCAACTACCTGGAATAGTTTACACTCAGAATGATTGATTAAAACGGTTTGGGAATTACCCTTTGAACCCTTTCCCACATCAATGTGTACTAAAGTTGCTTCTATCTGGGTTTCTTCTTTTGGCCTTTAAACACAGACCTAAAATTCCAGGCCACAAAAACATGCTTAAATTCTATTCTATTTCATTATCAGAACCTGTCTTCTATCACCCCCCTAATTACTTTTAGAAGTAGATACCTCAGTTTACCTGAGGTATCTACCTTAATTTTCAAACCTAATAAGGAAAAGGTGAATTGTCTATTGTCTCCTCTTTAGAATAAGTAGACTTCGTACCACAGGACTGTGCAACAGCTTATTTTGAGTACTGGAAGTAAATGATTTTGATTTATTATCATTATTATCCTCACATATCAACAGCATGTTTAAAACTTACCTTGATATATACTTATTAAGACCCACACTAGGAAGGTCTTAAAAGAGAGTGGTCGACCCTATGAAATGAAAAAACAGACAATGTACTCAAACATCTGTCTACAACATATTCTAAGGAATGTGACTGCATTAGTATTTACCAAATACCTTTAATAGATCTTTATATAATTCTGGGTATAGCATGGCAACTTCTGACTTGACATCTTTGTCCAGCACCAGAGAAAAGACGGGGAACATGGTGTAGGCAGTGGAGTAACTGGAATAAACAAGAATAAGAAGAAAAAAAATGAAAAAGAAAATGGCAATAGAAGTTTGAGCATAATTTCATGTGTTCCCTCATCTCACATTTCAACCCAGAGGAAATGCCAGCCAAAAAAGGCGGCCAAATACTCTCTTGATAAGTCATCGCCACTCGTATCTCACCCAATAATCAGGAACCCTTGGTAGAGTGGGACTGAGGCAAAATAGAAAACAGAGGAGAAAACCGCCTGCAGAAACAGAGGGAAAAACATACAAATATAAGATTTATTCCTACTTTCACATCAATATCCAAATAGAATTAAATCAGAGGGTAACACTGACTAACTGTGAGCTAAATCCTACATGTTAACAATGATCCTCAACCAAGTCCGTCTGAATTAGTGTATAATAAGTTAAACTAAAGGATGATACAGATATTGAGCTGTCAACTAGTCAGCTATCAACCACACAGGCCCAAACCAGACGGATCACAGCTGCTGCTGTGGCTGGTGTTAATTTGGGCAATGTGGAGGAGGGCCTCGCTTAAACCCAGAGGAACATGATACTGTGAGTCATGGGCTGTCCCTCCACAACAGGGGCTGAGGTTGGACTGGGCCATGAGAATGGATACGAAATGCTTTCGAAGTGTTGGGGGTCTGCTTAGAATTACACAACAAGTTGCCTTCTCTGAGTCACTGTGCGCCCCACCCTCCTGTGACAATAGACAGACTTCTCCGGGCCTCACACCAACCGTTTCCTCCTATGGAATTTTAGGTGCTCTAAGCAACAATTAGAAATACCTCCCCACCTAGACTGCATAACACCCAGTGACTTAAATTGTTAAGAGATTTTACAGTATATTTCCACAACTTTGATTTGGATTATTTGATTGGAAACTAATGGCCTACTGTACTTAATCAAATATTATCTGAATGGATTCATCTGAATGATATATCATGGTTTACCAACACAAAATAGAACGTTTTAGTGAGTCTCTACCTGCATGGTGCTGATGCACAGACTCCTGTGGATGACAAACTGGCTTAGGGCTGCAGATCGTTTGTAGCTGTTCCGACCGTGGACCATGAGGAGACGGCCTAAGTGTTTGAATTGAGTCACAGAAAAGTCGGCGGCCAAAGAGGCTTGTTTTCCTTCCTGTCAAACAGACAGCAAAGAGGAAACAAGTTACAAGAGATATTTGCTGACCTGAGACCATGTTTGTTATCAAAAATTGTTTTTGGAAACTGTGACTCCTTTGTCCCCAGGGCAATTCGGCTATTCAACATCACAAAAAAGGAAAGGAGAAGTGATATGGACTTTACTGCAAAACCTCCTTGGTTAAAAAGAAAATTCCACCATCCGACCCATACTGTCTATATTAGCCATTAGCACAGACTGCCATGGACAACCTGCACTTTCACGACCCACGTGCACACATTTTTGTTGCTTTGATAATGTGAACTGACAATCAGAAAGGCATTCAACATGTGCATCAGATCTTCTGGTGTCTGATACCTTCCCACTCAGGTCTTGCATACTTTGTAGTATGTGTTTTGTGTGTTAATCGCCAGTGTAGTATACTGTGTTGTCTGTTGCATATGTGGCTGGATTTTGTATTTTGACTGCAATGCTGGGATCTGTTTACTTTGTGGCTGTCTGTTGCACTGTGTACTTAAGCTACTGGATCCTTACATTTCCTTCAGTATTAATACATCTATCTATCTATCTATCTATCTATCTATCTATCTATCTATCTATC